TCGAGACCAGAGGAACACGTAAAGCCTAGTAAGCGCTTAAAAACGAAATGAAGATCTAAGAATTCGGAAAATAACATTCATCTAATCTCACAATGTAGTGGATGAGATTGAGTACGTGGCGCATTCTGGGGTAAGTTTTGAGGCCCTTCTTTGTGTGTAGCGGTTAGCCCGCATAAGCGGGATTATATACACATCACATGCGAGCAACTACTTTTTGAGATGAAATCGAGTGCATGGCGCATTCCGAAATCAAGCTTTCTGAAAAATTTTAGCACCATCTTGTAGCGCTTGAAGAGCTGAGTTCAACGGTGTTTTCCGTTTCTGGAATACTTCACTCTGACCCGAGTTATAACGAATTCACGAAATTAACGAGGATTCGCGTTATTCGCGTGAATTTTCGATTTCAAACGGCGAGTACTGTACTTCGAAAGGCGCTGAAGTAGAGCCAAGCAATGCCAGCATCAAGAATGATTTCTGTAATCAAAACACTACATAACCTTTTGACAAAATTCACAGAGGAAATAAGGGATTCAAAATTACTTCGGAACACTGAGTGTGTACGTGTGTAGTGAATAGATGCTAGTATGTACGGCGACATCTTCGAAGCAACCTAGCTAGTAACCTCAGGTATCCGTTTCAAGCGGTAAACCAGCGGACGCTAGCGGTCCTGACGGCAATTACGGTAGCCAACATTCCCACTTGTGGAATGTTTCTGACAGTACTTTGTGAAATTTGGAAGCCAATCATACAATAGGTCAAGTGGAATGAAAAGGATGAGAGCTCGATCACGTAACGCTTGAAAGAGAGGAGAACTGGCCAATTTGTCGCCGCCTGTTTCATCTACGTCATAAGGACTATTCGCCTTCCACCACTCCTCATTTGGTAAAAGGAGTTCTCACCCACCCACAGCGCAGTCTTCTCCAGCATAACCCACGATGAGTCTTCCAAATAATTGTGACGTTCCTGGCACGAAATGGGCGCTCTTGGTCCAGTAGCACGAATTTCGGCTCAAATCATCTCAGAGGAAAAGAGAGCAACCTTATGATTAGTTGCCAAAGGATAAAGCATTTGCCGTT